GGGGATAGGGGACAAAGGATTGGTGATCTGGATCGGGTAGAAAAGAAAAACCATGTTAAAATCAAACATACATGTACATTGTAATCTCTAAAGTGACTGAACATTGGACTCACCTCTCCTGCTCACAGTTTAACCTCCTCTCCACTCTCACTGTGGTACTCGGCCACATATAGACTCTTATCAATACTGCTGGGAATGGGCTTGATTTCGGTACCCAGCTGTTCTTCAATACCTTTCAGGTTGAAGCGGTCATCGTAAGTGATCAAGTTAATGGCGAGACCCAAGTGTCCAAATCGGCCTGTGGGGGGAGAAGGCCAATGTCATTTAACACTGCTACCCTTTCAAAAGCCTGATTGCCAAACAGTGATATTACCAATGCAACATTACTTGATCTCAAGAGCAGGAATCAAACGAAACCCTACTCACCAGATCTGCCAATGCGATGGAGGTACGTCTCCCCAAGTTTGGGGAAATCAAAGTTGATCACCACATTCACAGCTTGTATATCAATTCCTCTTGTGAAGAGATCTAAACAGAGAAAAGAGAAAGCAAGTTCTAGTGTTCTTAGCAATGCATATTACAAATAAAAAATTAAGTTGATATATTTACGGTAGGAAATTTACAAAATATCTTCATGGAACATGATTTTTACTTAATATCCTAATGATTTTTGCCATAAAAGAAAAATCAGATAAAATAATTTTTGACCCATACAATGTTTTTTTGGCTGATGCTAAAAATATACCCAAGCGACTTAAGACTGGTTTTGTGATCCAGGGTCACATTTAATGCGTTTAATGTAAAAAGAAAACAAAATATCGTCGCTGTCAAAAGTGCAGTTTATTATTATAATATACAGTGAACTTTTCAAATCAGCACATAATATCCCCACAAAAGCACCGCATCACAGAGATTTTTGATGGTGTAAATGATTTATTCTGAAGCAATATTTTCAGTGTTCTATCAGCTTTTACATACTTAAATCGGCATGTTTTTAATATTTACCTTTATAAAGGCCCATTTATTTGCATCATCTTTCATGTCAAATTCTTACAATTGATCAAAATTCAATACACATTACCAATCAAATGAAACAATTTACACTGCAAAATCACAACTGCAGTAAATAATGTTATAAGATTAATGTTTTAAATAAAATTGAATATACAAATAAGAAATATTGGGGAAAAATGCATACTTTTAAATGAGACTAAACCGCCAGTAGGTGGCAGTAAATCACTTATTCATTCAACCGATTCCTTCAAAACGCTGAATCATTCAGTAACAAAACCGCTGAGTGTTGCTCGGAGAATGTGCAATACTTCAGTTCAGATCTTTGTTTGAAACTACTTTGTTGGTGAAATAGAAAAAAAAAAAAGTCAATATAGTGTCTAAAATGTAAGTAACTACACTTAACTACTTGTTTGTTGAACTAAAAATCAACGTAATATTTCCAATCGTGAAAATATTCAGCAAAATAGCCCCCTTGTCATGCTATGTTATTTAACTATCATGTTATAAATAAACATTTTTAATTTTTACCTCAGTATGTTTGTTCTGTGAGTTCCTTTATGTGCCGTTATGCTCATTTGATTTGATTTCTCCATGAAAGTCTCACAGCGCGACATTAATACCAGAAATAGACTATCCATTAACAATCACGGTTTAAGCTGAATGTAATAAAATCAAAAGAATCATTCACTAAAACCATTCATCAGTCACTAGTTAATTTGTCACTTAAGTTTAATCAGGCTATTTGTTCTGTCGGGCAAGTAAAATTCCCAAGCCATTTTTCAGTAAACTTGCATTAACCCATTTAAAGTAGCCCGGAGGCTGGTCAGCTAGCTAGTTCGACCTGTATTCCAACAGATTTTAAACACTCACTGTGTCCGTCAGACTGGAGAAATTTTTGCGGTAATGTGACCAAAAATATTTAAGACCTACTGAATCTGAATTTAAGACATTAAGACTTTTAAGGACCCGCGGCCACCTTGAAACTAGTGGTCGACCGATATTGGTTTTTTGACAGTCCACGCCGATATCTTGTAAAGCAGGGCGGCCGATGGCCGATATAAAGCCGATACAATTGTATTTATTTTAATTAAAGAAATTTTAAATCATTTGAAAATAGATTAAAAATAAATTTGTAAAATAAACATACTTATACTTTAGATGACAAAGTATTTTCCACAAATAAATAAATATTTAATAAAAATCTAATTGAAAAGTAAACTGTAACCAACAGAGCACTCCGTATTCTGGGATGTTTGTGTGCATTGGGAATCATATTTTTTCAAATAAAGCCAAGGTAACACTCATTTTACATACAGCACACAGTGAAAATGACATTAATATGACAGTGGGCAAATGCATAAAGCGCAGCATAATTTGAAATCACGAATTTAATGTTTAAAGCATTCAATTTGCACGGCTCGAAAGTCATGCAGAGAACACGCGATCATGCAGGTCACATGCACACTTCACTAGATCTCACAACTGGATTCGACTAAGTTTGCAAGGTTTGTGAAATTACATTTTCATCAATTCAAATATTTGTTTAAATTATGTAAATGCGTATTTGTTGAATGCTCACAGCAAACGAGAAAGTATTATAATGTTTGCCTTTCTACTACTAATAATATAAAAGCAATCGTTATTATACTTTGTATACATTTTAATTCCTTTGTTTAACAGTTCTTTCTGATTATTAAACCGACTTCTATCCGTATTAGACAGAACTGTTAACGACGACAGCGAACAAGAGGGAGAATGTGAGCACTGTGTTTGAAAAATGCCAAATATCGGCCGAGCACTACTCGAAACATCCAGATTTTCAATTGTACTTACCAGTGCAGACGAGATTTCGACATAAGCCATTTCTGAAATCGTGGAACACACGGTTTCTGTGTTCCTAAAGGAAAATTAAAACTTGTATTAGCATAGCATTAACCAAGACACAGAATTCAGAATGTCAACAGTTTGGCAATTAAAATTACAATTACAAATTTGTAATTAATTTCAATTTGTAATTAAAATTACAAATCCTGTACATCCTTCACAATTCATTACATAAACACTTGCTCCATTTCAAAACTCTGCCAACAGCAGTGCGGTAACACCACACGCCCTCTCTATTCCCACCTGTCTCATCTTGGCGTGAATGTAGAAACAGGAGTATCCAAGTTGAGAGATCTTCTTTGCCAGGAGCTCCACTCGCTGTGATGAATTGCAGAAGATTATAGACTGATTGATCTGGAGCTGAAACACAAAAACATTAAATAAGATGTCTGCAACAGTGAGGAGGACAGCAATGCTAATTTTCAAATCTTAGGTCAGATAAAATGTGGGATGCACAAGGATCAGAAGATTGTTACCCTGGAGAACAGAGTATTAAGGCAATGGACTTTCTGCCTTTCGGTCACATAGGCGTAATACTGAGTAACCCCCTTCAGGGTCAGCTCATCCATCAGGTTTATCTCATAGGGCTTCTGCAGATGGGTGTTCTGTTCACAAAAATAGAGCATAAATTAATACTTTCTGAACCACAATGATAGCCTTTTGAACACAATTGCATACAATGATTATTATATTATTAGGCTTTAAAATGCAGCAAACATACAATTAAAGTACAGATCCGTGTTTTCTGCAATATTAGGCAGCAAAGACAACATGCCATTCTATTGCATACTCTGCATGCTCACATGAATAAACACAGTGAGGCCACAAGGGCTGGGCATTTAATCATATTTGATAAAATCTGATTTTGGCTTTCTAACTATTATGAAGAAAATCGCAATGATGCTTTTGTTTCGTCTTGTTAAACTCAGAGATTCCCCCCATTTTTTAGAGCAGTGCACTTCTAGCCTTCCTTAAATGTTTAGTAGTTTTCTTTAGGTTGCATGGCAACATTTATTTTTTAAATTAATTATATTCATTATTTATTAGTGTACACATTTATCATTTGAAATATTTAAAGTGCAACAAAATTCACTCTCAATTCAGTTCAAAGTTCAACACATTTCCAAAGTAAATTACTAACAATGTTCTAAAATCTTGATCAAAATAATCGTGATTGATTTTTGCCAAAATCAAGCAGCCATGACTCATGAACAGCAAATCATAACCTTCACGTGTTAACTGTTACCATAAGTTGGTAACTAGTTAGTGGCGTGCTCACAGTGGTTTTAAATTTAAAAATGCATACTTTAATAAAAACTAAAATCTATTTAAAAATACTTTGTTTTTATAGAACTTTGTTTAGAAATCAGTGGGCTTACCATGAACTTCTGCACACTCAGTGGGAAGGTGGCAGAATACAGCAAAATTTGCCTTTGTTTGGCCAAACAGTTCAGAAGCTCCTCCATCATCTGTACAAAGTCCTGTGACAGGAGCTTATCTGCCTACTCAGTAACATGGGCAGAACATACAAGAGATACGAGTATTACTCTATGGCAGTTAACTCCGTAATTAGCCTAACAACAAGATAAAGCTCTCATTCTCATACCTCATCCAACACGATCATCTGAACTTGATTGACTTTGGCCACTCCCTTTTTGATGAGGTCTAAGATTCTTCCTGGAGTGGCAATGACAACATGCACTACAAAGGGAAAAGTTAAATCCAGTGAGATCCAGTGTTTACGGAAGGGTATATGTAAAGTAGTTCAAAAACATTTCCCACCAGAATATGAACACTTGCCTGTTTCATCAAGTCTCATGATGTCATCACGGAGGTTGGTTCCACCTGTTGTTGCCATGACCTTGACCCCGCCCATGTGTTTGCTGACCTGAATACATATCTGGCTCACCTGTAGAGCCAGTTCTCTAGTGGGCACAACAACCAACGCTGCAGAAAGTATTTAAAGCTTGAAGTCACTTAAAAGCAAGAGAAATCATGTATAAAGCCGATCAACATGAAACCTAACTTCTTGTAAATGTGCCAAAACCAAGATAGTCACAGACCTTGTATGCTGTCTTTCTTCAGGTCAATGCGTTCAAGTAAGGGAATGAGGTAGGCGCCACTTTTTCCTGTGCCGTTCTTGGCTCTGGCCAGAATGTCCCTCCCAGACAACGCAATGGGAATGCTCTCCTCCTGCAGGAATGAGTGAGAACACGGTAATGAGCAGATGGGTCCGATTAAACGCAAGCTTCTCTTGCCTTACAGAGGATGGAAACCTTTACTACTGCATAATAGTGTACTTTAATAACAATAGTAATAATAATAATAAATACAAATCTGTTTTCATTTTAACAGTAAACCTTTTGTGTAACACCTTGTTTTCCAAAAAAGGAATTGTTAAACTTTGACTATTTTAAAATTCAATAGAATTGCTCATGATTTACGCATTTATTTGATTACCACCACTTTAAATAAATGTATATGTAAATTTATATTTGCATCATAGATACAGAAAAAAATAATAATTTGGGAAAAATTTAGATTGCACAGGGATCCAAAATGTACATTTGTTAACTTCGAATAAATTGCTGTTAAATGATGTAAGTTTCATAATTTCAATTAAGACATACGTATTGATTACTAAAATTGAAGTTAACCATTAATGAAATCCTGAAAAATGTAAACAAAAACAAAACTTAGGAAAACATTAAAAGTGATTTCATAGGGCCCTACACATGGTATTTGTGCTTGTGACTGGCTCTAAAAAAAGTTAGATTGATTAGTACAGATATCAGATCTCTTAAGCCAAGAGTGATTCATATCTGAAATATTTGCCATCCAATGTCCATTTTTCTCCTGCCTTTTACCTGTATGGGTGACGGTTTCTCCCAGCCCATTTCAAAGATGCCCATAAGCAGCTCCCGTTTCAGGCAATAATCCTCAAACTCGTTTCCCTTGGTTGCCGTCACATCCTGTAAATTTCACGACCACAAGCAGGACATCAGAGAATGATTCCGGTTCAGAGGGTACTTTAAGAGACATACAAATACATGTGTTAGAGATGGACTTACTGAAGTTCTCATGCGCAAATCCTTCGGCGGAAGCTTTAGATTCTTCTTCCAGTCATCCCCAGGCCTTTAAAGGTTTAAAAATTACATCAAATCCCAATCATCACCATAGTAAATCAGCACTCACAGCATCATTTGCACTTCCCTCAATGACTTACTTGATGATAGTGTTGGCTGTGGGTGCAGACTGGGAGTCGCCGTTGTTGACTGTGCTGGAGGGTTTGACCTGGGCTGGCAGCGTTGTTTGGGACCCCCCTCCACCTCCTCCAGGACCACCTGCTGGCTTCACAGAGCCTCGCATTTGGCCATTTTGATTCGACAGTCCCAGAATCACTGGATTTTCCATTCTGGCTGTACTCATGACTTAAATATTCTCTCTTCCAAACAGTGAGTGAAAATAAACAACAGTGGAGATAATACTTTATCTTAATGGGCTTGCAAAACAATTTGCAAGTTGTACTTCCCACAGCTTTCTCAGTGTCCAAACCACGAAAAAAACAAACAAAAAAAAAAAAACACCAAAAAAAAAAAGAAATGTTAAAGCGATATTTTATAACCAGTTCCTTGTTCCTCAATATGCAAATCTCTTGTGGCACATCTCAATGTCACTCAAGCAACAGGTCACAGATATAAGCAGAAGATTAGCTTCAGTTATCCTTCCATGAACGAGTGAATCCCTCCTCTGCAAAAGGAAAGTTTTACAGACCAGGAGCCAGGAAGCCAGTGGTCTTTTCAATTATTCTGTCCATTCCTTTCTCTCCAATTAGTCAACATCAATGATTTCAAAGGTTTCCCACCTGTGTGAGAGAAAGACCATCATAAAGCACAAAATATGAAATGTCAAACAAAACCACCCGTCACAATTTTAGATATTGTGAATGAGATACTAGTTTTAGTATATATTAGTATTTATAGAGTTTTAGCTTTTAGTTTTAATTACTCTTTCTTATTTGTAAGTCGCTTTGGATAAAAGCGTCTGCTAAATGACTAAAAGTAAAGTAAAAGTAAGAATTGATACCAGTTATGTAGGGCAGGGTTTTCACAACTTTTACAGAGCCAGGGACTCTGCATCCAGACTTTCAGACAATCCAGGGACCGCCAATATTAATATAGTTGTTAACAGGTCATAACATTTCGTAACATTAGTTAACCACTCTAGTTAAAGGGGTCATATGATGCGATTTCAATTTTTCCTTTCTCTTTCGAGTGTTACAAGCTCTTGGTGCATAAAGAAGATCTGGAAAGTTGCAAAGACTAAAGTCTCAAATCCAAAGAGATATTCTTTATAAAAGTTAAGAGTCAGCCACACCTACCTAAAACGGCTCGTTCTAACACGCCCCCACATACCTACGTCACTATGTGGGAAGATTTGCATAACACCGCCCAAATGTTCACATAAAGAAAGAAGGCGTAACTTTTATTCTCACTGTAGTATCGTTG